GCCGCTCGTCACCACCTCTGTACCACTTACGGGCTGTGCCAGCATCCCCTTGTGGGTGCCCACGCAATAAACTCCATCAGAAAACAGATCCAGTTTGACAATAATCTAGTTAATACTTTTCCCTCAAAGCCCAGGAACAGCTCATGCAGCTTTTCAGCTGGATCGGTAACTTCAACCAATTTACCATGTGAAGACAGAAATGCTTGTACTAGAAAAGCATCAAAGCAGAAAATAAGCAAAGCAGGAGAGGAAAAAAACAAAGTAGAAATTGATGTAAAATCACCACTCTTAAAAAGTGCAGATGATCAAAGGCTTGATGCTAAGTAATAAGGAGACCGGAGCAGTAAGGCTGTGTGATCTGGATCATCTGTGAGAGGCTGGCTTTACTACAAAAAAAAACCATTGCAACATTTCCAAAGCAAAGTTTTACATCCAGAAGCAAGATTAACGGGTGGTCCCTAAAGATTGTCCTGGGAAACCACAATCCTGAAGAGGACAGAGACCCAGAGCTGATGTGCAATGCAGTGCCCCCGAATGCTGGGGCAATCGCGGCTAATACGCCCTTCTGATGAGCGAACAGCAGAGCCGCAAGTGCGCATACAGACACCATTTTACCTTTAGGAGTGTCACAGGTGACATCGTTGTGAGATTGCAGCCTTTGGTATGCCCACATTTCAAAAGATGTCTTTAAAAATTAGAGAACACACAGAAAACCTGCAATGATGATTCAAGGATGGGCAAAAAAAATTCCTACTCTAAGGAATTAAGAGACCAGTTTTTTTTTGATTGAGAAGTGACATTGTAAGGTGTAAGTACTTCCACGGGGGAAAAACACGAGGTCCCCAAAGTCTCCCTGACCCACTGAGGAAGGGGCAAGCAGAACAAGCCGCTAGAAGCGGAAGGGTGGCAACCTCTAAACCAGACACGATGCAAGCGCTTTACATCACGAACAAGCCATGAGAAGGGACAGATGATTCTCCATTTCCTCATGTTTTCACACCAAGGCTAAATGCTTTTTGGGAAAACAAGCCTTAAACAATCAATTTATTGGATTCTACAAAGGACATGGAAGGAAAGGAAATTGCCTGTAGTAATTAAGGTATCAAACTACCCGATCTAATGGCCTTTATCAAATTTAGATTGAAGAGGAAGCTAAAGGATTTTGGTGTTCTAGCAGAACATCCAGGAGAAAGATGAGATCTAAATGCTCGTTTAGCATTGAAATTTACCAAAACGAATACACTTTTCGGGAAGCCCTTTAGCTTGATAGCCCAGGAAACTAAAGCCCTTTTCCTATTCAAAGTATGTCTCCTGGGCAGTGGACCCAGCTCACCAACATCCCTCCTGGGCCAGGGGACACCCGTGGGAATATCCCGCCCCGTGGGGCCAGTTTTGACCCTGGCTCGGGGAGAAACAGGAGTCTGTACCTGACCCACTAGTCTGTGCTGGAAGGCTCTGTCCTTACTAAGCCCAGACCAAACTGTTGCCTCCCCTTTCCACCATAATTACAGAAATACTGATTTTTTTCTTTTAAAAAAATTCCATCTTACAGCAACCTTTTCAGTGTTTTTCCTGAGAAAGAGCAACCTCAGCTCTGCCAGTTCAGCTGCCATGCACGTTGGTGATTCGCCTTTACAGACCGTGTGCATCTTGGTTATTGCCCCAAAAGCTCTCAAACACCTGCAATAACTAGGGTTGGGGGTTTTTTTGTTGTGGTTGAGTCTTGACAGACTTCCTCTTCACTCCTTCCCTTCAGCTCCAATAGATATTTCTTTGCCTTTTTATATTCCCTAGTAAAGCCATCTAGAAATTTTAAGAGAAAGTTTTCCTTTGGAAATTGTGATTGAATCAAAATATTCAACAAGAATGTGTTGCTTAACACACACACGCATACAAAGATGAGAAGTTAAAGTAATTCCTTCCAACAAGGTAGGCGTGATGTTCACCATTTCTAATGTTAGTTGGCAGGTTTTGGAAGCAGAAGTAATTTAGTTTGAATGAATTCATTTAAGTTCATATTTTATGTAAATAACCAAAATGATACAGTTGAAATAAGAGTTTTAGTGGCTCTAAAACTAATGTTCCTTAAATTCCATTTCACAGGAAATTAAGTTTCTGATTCAAGGCAAAAGGAAAATTTTGAAATGGCCGAATTTCCCAGGAGCCGGAACATGAGCTTTCGGCAGGTCCGCCCCGTACCGCTGGGCTGGCAGCGCCGGGGGGGTGATGAGCGATCGGCTGCTTCCTTCCAACTGGTGAGAAGTCAGTGACATTTTCGCAAAGCTCGTGAATCCATCTATTTTCCAAAATACACCCAAAGCTTCACAGATCATCCAGCAAACCATATGTTCCTGTGTTACTAATCCATGCCTGGTCCACATTTCCCAGTTTTCCTTTGAGTGTGGTAGACCTGATGGCACAGCAGAGACCGGCGCGGCATTGCCACTGCCGAGCGGGGCACGCTGGGGTGCAGAAGCCTCGCTCTGCCAAATGCCGCTGCCCATCCAGCGACAGAGATCTCCTGGGCTTTACGTACACCCACTGCCATCCCAGCCAACTCAGGCAGAAAACGAACTGCCTTGGTGGTAAAAATATGTTTAACCATCTTTCCACCTGCATTTGTCCTGCTTTAGGATGGGGAACCTGCTTTACATGTCTGCCGCACTTGAACAGCCACCAGCCAAGTTTTGCTCCTCGCATAACTGCTGTGATCAGAGCCGACGGCTGCCATTTCACCAGGAGGTTTTACAAACGTGGAGGGTTGAGAATTTTCTTATTCTTCCTGGGCAGAAACCACCCACTTCCAAGCTGTCTGCTCTGCACCCGTCAGATGTCCGGCCCCACGACAGTCAGGTGTGACAGGCAAGGCAGCTACATACTTCGTCATCTCCCCTGACTTGCATTTGGCAGAAAGAACTAAGATCTCAGGCGCACGAGGACAACCAATTAAAAAATCCAAGTGACTGTTTTGCCCGTCTATGCAGGTATTTAGTTCCCATTAATGTCACCAAGAGCCATGCACATGTATCAAAGAGAAATACCTCCCTGGCTCGTTTTGTAATGTCACAGCGCTTGGAATTCAGTCACAGACTTTATTCTCTCAGACTGAGCTCTCCAATTTCTCAAGATATATATTTTCTTTTTTAAGAACATCAGTCATGAAGCAATTTTTAACACAATCCAGAAGAGGGTTCATCAAAATGTTGCAACTGTTATGCAGACTGGAACACTAACACTCACAAAAACCTAAAAAAATTCTGAATTAACTTTTTATGTGCAAAAAAAAAAAGTTTAAGGAATTTATTGATCACTGCTGACAAGTATCTATGCAAGGAAGGAATTATCTGGCAACAGATGGGCCTATAATGATATTAATATCCTCACCACCTGGCTTTTAATCCATGCTTTTCATCAGTAGATCACAAAGCACTTTACGAATGAGGTCAAACATCTAGCGGGAAAAGGCAGAATAAGATGTAATGGTTAGCAGCTGAAGCCAAACAAATATAAGCAGGAAATAAGGTACGCTCCATTTGTTCTTTTGTCAATCACAACAGCAGGTGATTAACAAAACCAGGGATTTGCCTGCAAACATGATATTCTCCATCACTTCTTGTCACAAAGGGAGGATGTCAAATATATTACAGTTCAAAAAAATTTACAAACCGAAAATAATTATTAGGTGAGGTTGTTGGCCTTTGGAATACAGTAGGTGAAGAAAACAAGGTGAACACAGAAATACCTCTTTCCCCTGAAAATCTACAAATCTGTAGTTTCCCATTGGCTCCAGCCTACACACCTACCCAATTAGTCAAGCAAACCTTGTACATCCTTTCTAGATGCCTGGAGACAACTGCTCTCAAAATGTTTGTTTTCACCTTCAGCTCATGGTCCAGTTTCAGATTTGGTAGGTATTAAACAAATAAAGTCTTTACCATCTCCCAAATGCACGTGAAATGAGCCAGATTTTTTGTCCATGTCATAAGAAGCTGCTGAAGCCACAAACCGACAATGCTTAATGTAACCCAATGCCTTCGTTAGGCAAGGACTGAATGTTCACGTAGACTAACCTCATCTCCAACAACCCGATGCACCGTCTCTGCTGGAATTCAAGCCCACAGGCAAGATTCTGCATTGCCCCCAAGTGAAATCAATGCAATCTTCATGCAATAGCACTTCCAAGATGTCAGGTCTACCGACCAGATGTTTTTACAATGTAGGGAAGGGCTATAAAATAACTAATGATCTTTTCAAACCAATCAATGCATCCTAGACACAGTTCTGCCATAGGCTGATGACTAGACGGGAAAACTGAACACACTGAACATCTCAAACCTGCTTACTTGAATGCTTATAAGGCTCGTGATTTCTTTGGCACAACTGGCCCCCCAAAATCCCATCTTTTCAACTTTGCTAAGAAAGAAAACTTCCTAAGTTTTGCAGCGGCAGCTGCTCTTTGGAAAAAAATGCTGTTGGTACAGCATCCACTCGGTCACTTGCTGCTTGCCTCAGTGGTCTGGTCTGAAAACTCTTCAGAGCAGAGATGAGATGTATGCCTGTGTGGTATGTATAATGGGGTCTTCACCCTGAGCCAGCATTTGAGATCTATTGTAAAATTAATGATATATCTAGTCAGAGGGTGCTTGTTACTCAGAACGGCCTGTACAACATTAGGAGATGACAGAACCCCTATTGCTCAAAAGGCAGCAGCCTTACATCTTGAGCCCTGCCCAGCCCAACATACCCAAAGGTTTCAAAGCCCTACATTACTTCAGTGCAGACTTTTAAACTTTGTGGTTGAGTAACTTTGCAAGTGAACTCCAGTCCTACTGGGAATCACAGGCCTACACAAACAAACCAAAGTCCAAAAAGAGATAATGGCCTGAGCAAAGGGCAGAAAGTGGATGCAGGGAACAAAGGAAGAAAGCAGGATAAGTAAGGTCCACACTTGGAGATCTGAAGGATCTTGCTGAGCGCGGCTGCCACAGAGGAAAATGAGCATGAGTTACGTACTTTCAGTGTTTTTGAAGGAGCTGCCTGGCTACGTTCTCTTTGGTGGGATCTTTATGCCTGTGACTTTACTCCTGCTGCTGCTCATTGCCTACTTCAGGATCAAACTATTAGAAGGTGAGTCAGGACATGGGGGCAACGGGTGTGTAGGCAGACAAAACTCAGCAGGCTACTCTTAGGCTTGCACCATTAACTAAACTGAAGATAGCTATGATCATAAACAATTTTATGAAGTTGTACTGCATTTTAGACCCTTTTCTGTTTGAAAAATATTACAGGAATTTGTTTAGACCTTAGACTGAACCCTCACTTAAAACACCATAGTTTACACACCATACTATAGAAGATTTTACTATACTACACTAGAGAAGGGGCAACCAAAATGGAGAAAAAGAATAGGGTAGTTAAAGTACAGATCATTTTCCTCTGTGCATTCACTGTGCAAGTCTTCAGTGAGACAGGTAACAGCAGTTACACCCTATAAGTAGTTGGTTATTGAGTACACATTTGTGTTCTTTCAAAGGTACGTATTTGCTTTTACTTTGTACCTAAATGCACATTTACCATGTTGCTTTTGCTATTTTAAGATCAGCTTATACCCACTTCAAAAACCTATCTCCAGAGTAAAACCAAAACAAGAAACAGCCCCATCCAAGCCAACGCACCGTGGGTGCAGCACACCTGGATACTGCAAACCGGGGCTGCTCGCCGAGCCTGGCTGGTCCTCCACAGAAAAGACGCTGGGCTACAACCGCAGCAGACAAGGAGTTTTTTTTAGAAGGGAAACCCCTGTAGGACGGACCATCCAGTTCTAATGGGATGATCTTCATGCCTTCCAGGTTTGGGTCCCAGCTATGGCAGCAGATTCGCATGTGCTCCGCTCTCATTTTAGGCTTCCAGCTGCCAAGGCCAGCCCAGCGCACATTCAGATTGGAGTCCTCATCCTTTCTTTCCTTCAGCCCTTCTAAAACACGTTCTCGCAGGCACTGGGCTAAGCTTGCTCCTTGAATTAGCTGCCTTTTGAACCTTTTTTCCATAGGGAGTGTCAGGGGAGCTAAGAGGACATCCTAGATTTCCTCTGTAAACTTCAGATGCTTCTTGGTACAGCTTGGCAAGAACCCTGCCTGGGACAACGGTCTGCACGACGCGTTTCAGCTCTAGCACCTCACCCATGATCTCAAAAGCCAAGACTTGGCTAGGACAGGCAGGACAATCCTGACTGCAGGGTTCTGCAGATAAGCTGAGGACTCACCCGAGGAGCATCGGCCCAACAGGAGAAGGCTGGGTTTACCCATCCATGCAAGGCTAGGGCACAACCCTTACCTAGGTGCCAGATCAAGCACTGTAATTTGTACATTCATTAAGTTTGCTCTATCCTGCAGTCTTCTGAAATCCAGAAAATTAGGCAGTTTAAACACAGCTCTAAAAGTAAAAAAGGCCACACCCTCCCCGAAATGTAGAATGAATTCACTTCCTATTTTGTGTCACATCTCCAGGCATTTAGACCCGAGGCTTTAACAGAGAGGAAGGGTGTTTGTTTGCATACAAGCGTACACCACAAGTTACCTCCAGGCTGCTAAAACTCAAACATTTCTTGTTCAAGATGTGCTTTCAGATGCTGAATTAATTAGCTAGGGAAGCCTCTTCCACGTGCCTAACCCAGCTCTGCCGTTGGTTATAAATCATCCTTAGAGCAAAGCACTGACAGGTTTTCACACACTAATAAACAGCAACCAAAAAATGGTGTTGTGCCAAAACATCGTACAATTCAGTATCTATGAGGGAACAGAAAGCTAAGTACTGAGAGCGAGGATTCGCCGTTTCAGCAAATAATCATCTCTGTGTCCATCTGTGATAGTTAGACATTAGTCGTTATGAAATCATACTGAGATACTGTTGAACTCGTTCTTACCTGGTGATGCTCTTGCTTTTCTATCCCAACTAGGATCGAGCGAAACAGGAAAAGCAGGTGGGTGACAGATCCCATCGGTTCAGGTATTTTGCTGAGGCTCAGACAGTACTTTCAGTAAGCCAAAATGCTGCGTGATACCTGCTGAAACAAACCAGCCTGCCCTCTGTCACAGTGCCCATACCTTCCTTAGCCGCTCATTCTGCAGGTCTGTAAATAATCTGCAGAACCTGATGTTAAATCCTGCTTCTCAAAGCACAGAATTTTTAGCTTTGGATTTGTAGTGAGTTTAAGTAAGGAATGATTTCCTAAATTTTCTGAGATTAGCAATCAAGGCTTTGAGAGAGAGAGGTGAATGAAGTAGCTGGCAGACTAATTTGCCAAAGGAGTATCGCTTCTGTGCTTCTCCCTTTCATAAGTGAGAGGGATGCTTGAAGGGAATCATCCGGCTCTTCAGTGCCTCCAGGAAGGAGGCTCTCAGTTTGCAGATCACAGGTGCTCTGGCTGGGAATTTCAAGATGATGGGACATGAGTTCCTGTTTATTTAATATTTGGGGCATTGCAGTCCCAGCTCTACCTCCAAGCCCTTCTTTTGCTTGATCTGAGACTGCCAGAGTCCAACCTTCCGCTTAGGCCTCCAGCCAGCTCACACCAATCCCCAGCAGCTCTCCCAGTACAGGCAAGCAGAGCCAGCTCCAGCTTAAGACCATCAGGTGAGCGAAACGACTAACCACAGATAAGCCTGAGAACAAACTCCTTTAAACAGCAACTCTTCCTCTCTGACAAAGCCTCAGAAATTCAACAGGCTTTAGGTACCTGTTTCCTTAGATCTCAAAAAAAAAAAAAATAAATCAAATTTGCATTACTAAAAGCAAGGCTGCCTTGTTTCATTGTCAAATAAGCATTTCATTTTTTTCTGTGCACCAAGACAGAGCCTCCATGTAAATATATCAAAACCCACCTTAGTAGCATCCCTTCAAGATTCCTTAAAAATAAAACTAAAACCAACAAACAAAACAGCACACATTTCTCCTGAACAACTAGCAATGACAAGGGAAGCTCATGTTCCGTGACAGTGTTTTATGCTAACCGGGCTTTTCTTCTTTTTCTTTTCTTTGTTTCTCCATCCCTCTCCAAATATTCTCCGAGACTCTGACGACACTGTCCTGTTCTGAAGATGCCAGGTTACGGGGACAGAGATCATTTTTCTGTTCTGTTTGTAGCACAGGCAGCATCGGGAGGATCAGACCAATTTGAGGCTCTCGTGGCACTGCCACAGCAAAGCAGAACGCGAATTGCCGGTACAAGCTAACTGCTCCCCTTGCTGTTGTTTAAGTCTTTTATTCAGATTGAAAGCTGGCGGAGGCAAAGGAGAACAGAGTATTTCTGTTGATGTCACTAGAGTTTGTGTCAGTGCTTCACCAGGCGTAGGCACAATCCCAATCTCACACTCGAAGACTTTCTTCTAGGAGCATGGGTAAATAGCGTGTTACTTAGGTACCTTCAATTTAATAAGATTAGTTCTTACTAGTAAGTGCCAGCTCCTTTTCTTATAAAACTTCACCACAGGAAATTAGCACATTCTTATGGAATTTTGTGTTGTTTGGTTTATTTTTCAGTTAATGAGGAACTGGCCATGGCACAAGACCCCGGAAAGGTCTTCCTGAATGCCCATGGCCAGTGGCAGAAACCTGGGAGATCTGGACAAAAAAGGAACAAATGCAAGAACTGAAGGACATCTAAGGGAGTCTCACAGCTCAGGAAGCAAACTGAAACCCAGTACTCAGCTCTGCAAGTTTAAAAATAACCAGCTGTAGATAAATACCACAGAGGAAAACAAAAGGAAGAGAAGAAATCAGTGCTGTACTGTACCAAACAGCTGCTGCCCTTCTAAAAGGTCTTGTGACAGTTTTGCTTTCCCACATGAGGCCAAGTAAGCGGTACTTTTTGCGACTCATCGGACCCCAGAGACCTCCTGCAACGTCCTGTAGCAGTTCCCGTAGGCGACACAGGATTTTGGAGGAGGGAAAGCACCTCGCTGACTAGCCCTTCCCTAGCCCACCGAGAAGAAAGCTACGTAACGAGGTCCTGGGAGAGCTGAGCTGGCCTATACAAGGAAGGCAGCCTCATTAAATTGAAGATGCATAAATAGCAAGTTCATATCAAGCAGTGACATCTAGGAAATGGAGAAGGGTGATGAGGAGGAACTGTTTTTTTTTTTATTAGTTTGTACACTTTGGGAAAGATTGTAGGTTTTGTAAAGTATGCTTTCCATAGAATTTGGAAGCAAAATATAATAGTGATGGGAAACAAAAGGACTTCTCTCTGCTGACTGACCATGCCAAATTTTGAAACCATGAAAAGATTCGGTCAGTATTCTGTAAACCAGTTATTATTCTAGTTTAAGGACAAATGAATGATTTTTCAAATAAAAAACCCCATTAAGTATGGAGTTTTCTTTCTTTGCGTGTCATTTGTCACACAATAAAAAAATCCCCCCCTCCCCCCCCCAGCTGTAGATGTACAATTTTTAGTGCAGGTGGCCCATAAAAACTGTTTGAAAATACTATTGCCTTTTGGCTTCTCTGTTTCTGACTCTCAAGTTTAAACCCAAACTGATGAAGAATGAAAAGCAACATCATTATTGTCCCTGATATTTACTGTCCCTATCCGCTAGCAACTGCTGTCTGCAACTACCTTTCATTACAGCTGTCTGCCATTACCCACCCTGCAAGAACAGAGTGGATAATGCCTTGTCCGAGATTATGTGTGATTTTGCACAATTTCAGTTCTCATAGACTTTTAAGAACTCCTTTGAATCATTTTATAAAATCACTAATGAGGCCATGACTGTAGGTTTAAGAAACACTGTCATTTATCAAAGTCTGTGAGAAGAAAACAGGAGTCAAACAGCAAGTACCTTTACTATACATAACAGTCCTCTATCACATTTTAATACTACCCTATTTTAAAGAATAGGTAATTCATCACACTGGTTTACATCTATGCAAATAACATAGAATACATTGCATTGAACAGGTGAAGAGTCAATTATTTGTTACTTGGAAAGAGATACCTGTATATTTGTATAGTAAAAGTAAAGGCTAGGATGCTTAAATGCAAGTACCTCTAATTAGATCTAGCAGTCTCTGTTTAGGTTCCCAAAAGAATTACCTATGTTTGAAAGTGCAAAGTACTTTGTAGTTCCATTTGAAATCAGCAGAAGGTGCTGGGTGGAAAAAGGCAGGCATTTATTCAGAAGTCATGGCATTAACATGAACAGGAGAAGTTAAACACAAGGTAGACATACAGACTTTGACTTCAAAGGCAGCAACCCTGTAAGAGAATCACAGCAAAACCTGGAAGAGTAAAGATAGTAAAAGCAAGTTTATATCTCAGTCAGCTGGCAGAGAAATCCGCAGTTCAGTCGCAGGGCTCCCCACCTCCGACTGGCAATTCACCCCAGCTCCCCACTAACAGGTTCTCTGCCTGTTTGAAGATGTCCCACCTGCCATCATGCCAGAAGTGCTTTCCTGATATTTTGCAATCAAAAGGCTGGACACTTTTCTTCTGATTTTACTCTTTGTACAAACTTGTTCTTCCCTGTAAGAGAAACACGTGCAGTCATTCTGTTCTTAAACTTCACACCAGAAATTCCATTTGACTAGCAAAACACGATGCATTTCAGAGAGCAAAAGGAGAGAAGCACTCCAGAGGCAGCTCCCTATCCCCCAGCTCTTGAGCAGATCTTACCTTCACAGCTACTCCAGACCCCGGGGAGCACCTACTCCCCGAGCTCCTCTCATGCCTGGACTTTCACATCGCCTGGCAGCCCTCGTACAACACAGGCCAAAGCAGGGCACACTTTCTTTACACCCAGTATAGCCAGTCTCAAAAGGTCTTAATATTGGCCTGCTCCCACCTCTAATGAACTCCACTCCTGTACTTCGAGTGCTGGCACCAAGCAAACAAAATAATGCTGCTCTCAACTGAAAGACCCATCATCATCCCATGAAAGCAGCGATGATGGAAAAGAATGTGATGCTTTGTTTCATTTTTAATGCTTCTAAGCTTAGATCTATGTCATTATGTAAAGTATTTAAGGTTCACTAAAAAAAAAAAGACAGTTATTATACAGTGTCAGAAGTGTATTTATGAATACTTATGTGACACAGAGATTGAGACACTAAGATGTAATACATAAAGATTCTTAAGAAAAGTGGTCTTAACTCATGTAGCTATTATTAACAGATAAAAAGGTCTGTTCTCCTGGTTACACAGTTTCTTCAGTGTCTCTGTTCCTGCAGGCTGTGATGTCAAAGATCAAACACACCGCAGATGACAGAGATCCAAAAGTTAAAGCCAGGTAAAACATCGTGTCTAAGGAGAGAGATCTGAAAGTTTGATTCTAACGATCCACCTCTGCTTACAGCTGTCTCACCTAGAAAAAGCATGGCACAGGATCAATGAGTCCGACCTACTGCCCTCCTGCCGCGACCCTGCTCCGTGCCTCTCCAGAGGTACGTTACTTCATCACTTGCTGTCCCCAGGAGGAGCTGGTATGGATCCCTGCGACACGCAGGCCACACCGCCAACTGATTCAGTGTCCTGTGCTGTGCAACAGCTCCTCATCTCCTACGCAATCCTGAGATAACAGACCAGCAGCTCTGAAGTGAGAGAGAGTGCATTCTTCGGCCGCACCACTGAAACTATTGTTTACCTGAGCACATAAACTTCTCTGATATTGGTATCTTTAAAGAAAATCTTTAAATAATCGCTGTAATATATTCTTTCCTCTTCTTTTATTAACTACAGTCTACACAATCCTTTGCAGTGAAGTTGAGACGGCTGCTCTGAAGAATTGACTTTTTACATTTAAGAAAGATGCTGCCAACAGAAAAGCAGTGATCTTGGATACTGATCAGAGGGTTAAAGGAATTGCACCACCACACCCCACCCCCAATTCCAAATACTCATTCCTCCACAACCCAAGAAAAGATTGGCCTGGACCACATGTAAAGATACAGAATTGAAGTTTAGCAAGCAGTACTGCAACATAAAACTGATTTTGTTGATTTCACAAAACGACTGAGAATAGAGAGATTTACAATGCTGAAAAGTGATACCACTTTTTAACAGCATTTTACTGTAAAACGGTGGTATGGATACTGAAGAGAATTCTATAATAGATACACTGGATGCCTACAACTGCTTATTGAGCTGTAATTGCTAACATGTAGGAGGATCTGACATTCAAGACTCAGTAACATGTAATGAAAATCCTCAGGCCTTGCTGTTTTCAGTTCCATTACCGAACAGTGTCAAGAAATCTCTTCTGTTTCCATGCTACCTGCATGAAACACATCACAGTATCTTATATAATTCCTTCTAAAAGGCAAAATACATATTTAAATAACACCATAAAACTATGTCTTTGTCTAAATAAATTATAACAGCATTCTCTAAATATATACAGTGATTGCAAGGAAGTAATTTGTCTCCAATTATTGTTATCACCGAGGAGCGCTGTGTCCTCCTGTCACTAGCAATAATGTGAAGCTAGGATTCCACTCCATCTACAACCAGTAAGCATGTTTAAAACCTTCCTCCCTATCTGTGATTGCTTCCTCTCCACTTCCCAGAAGACAATTTAAAGTCTCAACATATAAGTAGGGAAGGTACAGAGAAAGGTGATAAGAATGATAAAGAATTGTGGAATAGCTTTGGGTTGGGGAACGACCAAAGAGACAATGACTGTCAGGTGTCTCTTCCACTATCTGCAGCGGTGCTACCAAATGAAGCTAGCTTAAAATAAATGAATGGTGGTTCTTTCCTTAAGACACATGGAATGGTGAAAATGCCTGCTAGAGGAATTTTTTTTTAAAATTGGCTGAAAATCCACAGAGGCAGACAAATATGAAAGACTGATAGACGAGTAAGTCTTTGCAAATTGCTGAGAGCTGGAAGAATATTTGGGAAAGTACTACTTTCTAGCACAGTACTTACTCTTGCACACACCCCTAGGCAACTACCAGCAGCCTCAGCGACAGGGATCTGGGAGTGCTGGTCAGGTAGCCTGGCCCAGTACAGCCATTCATCTATGCTTACCTCCAAAAACTCTCGTAGGATTTGCTTCACGCCAAACAGAGTAATTTAACACTGCAGGTATTAGCAGCATTTCTAATGCTTGTAATTTGTACTAATATTACTAATCCAAGTGCCTTTTTTCAAGTGCAGTACAAAAATCCCAAACAACTGAGCAGCCTGAAAATTAAAACAGTTTCAAACCTTCCAGAGGTGTACTCAGGTGAAGAGCGCAGGACACGAGCTGCTCCAAGAAGCCCACTTCCATAGTTAATGTACCCAAAAGCTGAGAAGCTCCCACTGCATCCTGGCCAATGGTACAGTTAGCTGCTGTTCTGATTGCTATCAAATCTCCCAAATTCTGACTTCTGTCATAGTATTTCATTTATTTTATTCCATCTATTTGATTTCTTCTGTGGCCAAACTAAAAGTTGCCATTCAGTTTGAGTTGTCAAGAAGAACACTTCAAGAAACACTTTGTATTGTAGTTAATTGCTAATCGCTTTGAGCAATTAATTCTTTTTTTTTTTTTTTTTTAAGTCTGTCACCAGAGTTGCTTGCTTGTCCTTTATGAAATCTTAATCTCAGAAACAATCTGTAGAACAACTCCAACATTTATTATGAACCCTTAAGTGATCATGATTAAAAAGAAAGATGTATTATATTTGTGTAGGACCCACATGACTCACTTTTCTAAGTATTTAAGCAGAATTAATTACTGAAATATCTTCTCATTAAATGGGTCTGTAATTGTATTTGAAATTGCCTATGTATTATAAAGACAGCTTGTGAAGCGCCTTGAGAACAATTTCTTTTGTTACATGTTGCAGTTTTTGCTATAGATATATTATATATAAAAGTAACAATGAAAACTCATCAGAATTGCACAATATTCCAGAACATTTGAATAATTACATACAACCAGAATCTGTAAAACTTAACTATTTTTAGGATTGATCACACTTGGAGCTTATCTTTTTCTGCATGACAACAGTTGTTTAATTAGGATGTTTAATCAATGGAAGTGATAGCTATGCACAAGCTATGCTGACCTGAAAGCACTATTAATTTTTCCCTGACAAAAGGTTCTGATTAGTATTTAAAGAAATACAGCTCTCAGTGAAAGTAATATTGTTTTCAAGAATATTATATTTGCACTTTTCAGGATTAAACACAATTGCAATAAAACCCAATACTGATCTAGTATCTAACAAATTAGAAATATCCAAATCAATAAGGAATTGAAGTAACACGCTTTCCTCCCATCAAAAGAATTTTGCAACTAATGCTACACCATATCAAAAATACCTGAAAGATTTTATAGAGCTTTTCCTTACACACTTTTGTATGAAAAATCTGTTAAGACATCCCCCTAAACGGATATATCTTCATGTTGACCTCCACTTACATATCCCACACTTGTCACTTCCTTGAGAACCTCCCTGCTCCTGCAGAGGGTTGTGGCCGTGTTCTTCTGTTATTTATTCGGCTGGGTGGGGTTCTCTCGCCCTTTCTGAAAGGCAGAATGTCTCTGTTTTTGAAGAAAAGCAGGTAAGATTGTTATCTATTTTTCTTGGTAATGTGGGATGTAGTTGAGAACGCCTATATGCATATAGAAATCAACATCTTAGTTACTGTTGTCTTATGTTATCGGAATTATACGAAGCCAAAACTAATAGGAACTTCTGTTAAGCAAGCATGCTGACAGATGGCAGCAATCTAAACTGAGAATAGCACCAAAAATACACTGCTCAGAAGTGAAAAAGAACATAGCGAAAAGTATTATGATTTGTTTTGTTACTTGAAGATCTTATACATCCTAACTCAACGAACTCAGTAGAACCACTCGCAGACTGAGGGGCATTTTAACCTGCACTGTGCTGTCCAAATCTCGTCTGTTTTGGCATCTGAAGATTTCTTCTCTGAACCACATAAACCAGGATGGTTATTGGAAGATGTCTAAAGAACACTGATACTTTAGTACCAGTCTTAGGAATGAGACAATCGTGCCACCCTTCTGGTAACCCTGAAGACTACTTGTACTAATCCCTGCTTTTCAAGGTTCTGTGGCCTCGAACTGCAGTTCTCCTAACTGACTTGCTTACTTCAAGTATCTTCCAAGTTTACATCTGAGTGCCAAAAGTCATATAGAGAATAAACAACTTTATTTTATAACAGAATTACAGAAAGCAAAATATCACTTAATACAACTTCAAGCTGCTATAAATCTAATTTGGCATTTTAACTATACACAGAGTTGACAGCAAAAAACCCCCCAAACAAAAAACCCTTCTGCAAGAACAAAATAAAAATAAAATCCAAAATAATTAACAGGTTTTCTCAATGGTAGTCTCAAATGATGGTACTGTCTTATTACTTTATGAACAGAGTCCATCGTACACTTTTACTCGGTGTCCTAAAAACCTGCATTAACCATTAGACGAAGCATCTGAAACGTCTACCTCTTCAGTAACAGAAATGTCAGTTCTAACATGGACACAGTGAGGTTTAATAGAAAGCGAGCATTCTACACGTATTCAAATAATGGAAGTGTTGAAGTTGGGACACAGTAAGAAAAAAAAAGCACTACGGTTTTAAGCTGCCTAGATCATCTCTTGTTGGAAGAAGAGAAAGATACTTTGTTCTTCCTTCTTTCCTTATCTGGAATGCTGCAGACAGCAAAACGTCTGCAAAAAGTTGAGCATTGGCACCAATGTGCAAGAGGAACACAGTGCTCAGTCAGAAGAAATGTGTCTGCAACTCCTTCTCCTCTACAGACTGCCGCACCACCTCTGCTCCACAGAGAGGAGACCCTTAGAACAGAAAGAGTTACAGAGATACCAGTATAAAATTTATCCAAAGAAATATTTTTTTTTAATTTTAGGAAATGTTGTATTTTTATAAAAATCTTTGTTATGTGATACCATATATTTACCTGAATAATCTGAAAAAAAAAAAAAAATCTGTAAATTACTCCAGTAAGAGATTTCACTTGAAATATTTGGAAAAAACTATATCTAAATTAGTAAAGATCCCCCTTCCTGCACAATTACCGCCTGTTCCAGTGAACAATGCTTTCCAGACTTCCTTTTTGTTCACTTTCATATAATTAAGAATCAGCTTCAAAAATACAAGTATTTGTGCAAAAGAAGATCATACTCTCTAAAACTCCATTTGAAAAAAAAATAAATCTAAGATTATTAAGAAGTGGTTATAAAAAATAAACAAGAAAGACTGTAATGGAATATAGACCAAAGATGTTAAAATGGAGTTTGGTATTGGCATTTAAGTCTTGAACATCTGGTCATCATTGCTAGGCTTGGTGAATTCAGTAGAGTCGTGGTGACTTGGAATGATTAGAGTTCTTCATGGTCATGATCACGGTCAGTATCATTTTTACTTCTGGAAGAAAAAGGAGGGGGAAGATTACATAAGCATTCATAACAGATACTATGTGATTGTCACATCAGAGTCAAAACCTCATTTTTTTCCATATAGGTTATTAGGGGGGAAGGTTATTTCATAAAAAAATTTGGCATTAACTAAAGCCCCCTTCAATCATGAGGTAAACAGTAATTCAGTTTCTATTGGTGCTCTTCTTGCTTTATTGAATTTTTTTCCCTCCCCAAAATTCTCATGGTATTTTAACAGTTACCTCTTGCACAGTTTACTGAAAATTTTAATCCACAGTCTAGCGCATAAAGAAAGAAATGAAGATATTTGTTCAGCTAATAATCCCGCAGAATCACAGTATAATATCTCTCACTTTTATTAGAGAAAACAAGTCTACAAAACCAATACTGCCGTAGTCATTGGGGCAGAGCTTCCATCACCTTAGAAACAACTAATCAAAATTTGTGGCATGGCTCCATTGCCTAAACACCATGGTCTAGAGCTGTTTCTGCAGTCCCACCTGCTTTCAGTTGCTGCTACAGGAGGGCATAGGGCTCTTGATGTCCAAGTTGCAGATGGATCATCAAGGCACTTTAGGTGGCCTGTATTTAGACAACTAAATTTTTTTCTTAATGTTTAACTGAAAGGCATCATCAGTCAAACAAGTCCCCAGGTCTCAAATACAAGAGCAGCATGGTGAAATGTCTTCGTATTAGTCCTCTTTTACTTTCTCACAAGCATTTCAGACCAAGAGCTGTAAAGCAATTGGCAAACTCAGACATCTGACACTCTCCGATACATTGCAAACACCATTCCACAATGTATATATTTCTCAAAAAAAGCAAAAACACACCATCAGCAGATATATTGGGATAGATTATGTTGAACACTGATTTGAAAGATACTTTTCTGGATTAAGGTAGCATGAAGAAACCGGCACGTTCTGCACAAATATAATAGAAGAGTCAGTCCCTGCTCCTAAGACCTTTAAATTCACACTGATTAATAATAAATGAAAAATGTGATGGTAGCACATATTACAATAGTAAATCCTTGCAAATCAAAATGATCTGTTCTGCTGTATCTTTCTACCTCAAATCCTGCTATGTAAATGCTGAAAATATGAAAAGGATAGTTTGAGCATGCATTTTTAATGTTGCTGTGTACCAAAGGACCAGTGAAATTACCTAAATCACAGGCATTCTCCTTGCCACAAACTAATAGCACTCTCAAAAGTGATGTGGGTTTTTCCGAGCCCTTCTGGAGCATTTACGTGATGTGAGGACTCATCCACACATACCTATCTCACAGTTCAGTACAGTTCCATGTCCTCTCCTGTGCTTTCAAAACAAAGCTGGAGCATACATGCTATACCCATTTTCAGTGTCACTAAGCAACAAAGCTACAAAAAAAAAAATTCCAATTGAACACTGAAATAAAGATACAGTGAAAAAACACAGAGAGATTTGTGCAGAGTTCCTAATTTTTTGGTGACTTTTCCCCAATCCTCCCTCACAACAAACAAAATCTTCCTACAACAAACTTGACCAAACATCGTAGGGAGTGCCACGAGAGTACTGTGACAAAACTGGAAGACATGTACAGGAACATTTGCAATTAAAATTTATGTCAGACTGGACTTAAGATAAAAATTCTGACACTAACAGTCTACTATTAGTGCCTGTTTCAACTCAGCATTTTGTGATAGCATATATCAGACGCCCGATATTTTTCAAGCCTTTTATTACAGAATGCAACAGAAAACTGATGCTACATTTTTCTACATTAATTATATACATAAGCTTACCTGAAGTATTTGCTTAAGGGCATTTTTGATTTTACTCTTCATCTTCCTCAGCAAGTTCAGTTTCTTTGTGCACCACCACTCTTGTGACAGACATGTCAGGGTGCTGTTCTTTGGCTTCTTTGATTGCCTGTGCCAGGGCCTGCAAATGTATGCAAAGTGCGTAACTAAACAACAGCAAAAGGACATTCATGTAGGGCCAGAGAACAGGAGAGTAGTATTGGAAATTTTGGTTGTAATTGTTGAGAACCCTAAATTCCTTAACTTGAGAGGGCTCAGGGTGAAAAAAAAAAAAAAAACAAAAAACAAAAAACCAAACACACACCCACCAAAACCCAACCAACCAAAACAAAACCAACCAACCCCCAAAATACAAAACCCAACCAAAAAACCCAACCCCACTATGCTAAAAATTTACCAACATTTCCAGGAATTAACAAATAACCATAAAGTTATCCTGTAACTTTTGTAGCTCATTCCAAGAGACAAAAAGTATTCTTATACTCCAGAAGTTTTTGAACTTCTGTAACAGATCTAGCAAAAAAAGACTTAAGAACATACACAGTACAGAAAAACACGAGTTCCCTTCAGTTTCCTGAACAAAATGGGAAGATACTCTGGAATGTGTACTAAGTATAGCACTGAAACTCTGGAAGAAGTTCATAACAGAAATTTCTTTCTCAGCACAAGAATCCTTTTTCTCCTTTTACTAGTTTAAGATAACTTTCTCTAGGTTAACTCAGGGCAGTGTAAATACAAGTATTACTCAATTTCTTATAATCCCTCCTCCACATTTTAAGAAATTTTATCTTAAGAGAAGTACCAATCCACACAGCTGGCAGTTGGACTAGATGACTGTTGTAGGTCCCTTCTAACTGAAATATTCTAGTCTATTCTACATAAGGCTTTCTAGTCAACCACATAAGAGTACCCTCTGAGGCAGAACAGTTGGAAGAGCACCTGGGGCTTTCTATTCCTTCCCCGATCTAAATCTCAATTTAGTGAGCTCTATTACTGTTGGAACTTAACATACAAAAAAAGAAAAAAGAAAAAAAAAAGAAACTGGAAGGCATTCTGAAGCAACAGTAAGATCACTGTTCACCTTAGTATCAACTACAACTAAAAATAACCAAATATACTAGAAGGAGCAAGAAAAATATAATGCAACAAAAAGGTTTATCTTAATTTAGAAAAGTGACATTTTCTTTAGCCATAGGTGGTAAATGGGAGAAGAAATAACTAACTCTGAAGAGAGACTGGAAACTCCAACATTAGCCACTTTAACTATTACAGGACTTCAAATTCGTGTACGTTTCCTTAGCATGATAACAAGAACACACCATGTGCACTGGTACAATACTGATGTTTGCTGCTGTATTAATCCTAACAATTTTTTATTAGTTCATCTTTTACAATATGCCAAGTGTAATCTCTGTAGTACAAATGAAGATTTAAAACAAAGTTGCTGTTGAGATTTAAGAATCAGTGTTTATAATCAAACCATAAACAGTGAAAAAACCTTAAGTCTGACTGTTAAATTACAACAAGTAATACAAGCATTTGTATTCTGAAACTCCAAATTAAAATATTATTTTCCCATTGAAAACTGTTTTAAGTGATCTAGGGAGCTAAACGACAGAATAATAAACATCCAGAATGTAGCTTGTGCATTTAAAGAGCTCCATATCCACTGAAGAAAAAGTCATAGAGATTTCCTGAATCTCTTAAAAGCTTCTCACTGCTGCTTTAAACTTCAGTGATTAAAATTGTATTTTGTACTTCCTTTTTTATAATTTCATTTTTCACTCCATTACCTACTCATCTCAAAACAAAGAAGGGCTCAGAGAATTGTCTGGTGTACTAAAGGCACTGTGACCTTTCCAGACATCTGAAGCGCACTGAGCGTGTGTCAAGGCAAACAAGAGACATGCCTGATGCTGAACAGTGCTGTCATTTAACTACAAATTTCAAGAAGAGATTCAACTTGTCAAGAGCCACTTTCTGGAGGTAAATCAAATTGTGAAATTAAATTCCCTGAGAGCTCTCAGTATATTACAATTAAGAAGATAAATTAAATCCTGTTATGATGATTTGTGTTTGTTGGATTCACTGCAACTTTATGTAGATTGTAGGCTTTTCCATTCGTATTATCCAGTGACTGTTGATCGACTTTGTTATCATAGTTTCTTAAGAAGAAAAACAATAAAAATTATGTAATCATCACCACAAAGAACAGATAATTGCACTTTCTCAATTATTTTTCCTGTGTACTGCTTAAATGCATCCTTCTTAATTAGGCAGGTAGAAGTGATTTTAACCTTAGTTTCTAAGACATCGTAAAATACTGCCTTGATACTGATAGAGATGAAAGGTACTTACATAAGATTCCAGCAGATCAACAATTACTTTTGTTATACACAGTTCTATAAACACAAGTCAAAAACTTTTTAAAATTTGAGCAGTTTATGCTTTGCTGTATTTCAAAGCTTTCAGTCAAAATGAGTGCTGCATTCCACGTTGCGGACACAACACAGTAGAGACTCCCATCTATCCAGATTAATGTACCAAAATAAGATTACTTTGGAAATGCTTTTCCTCCCAAATGACAAAAGCAGCAGTAAACAAATTGGGCCTCTTCCTAAAAAAGCAATCCCTTTAAAAATAGTAAGAAATCCATTCACGTGATCTATGATGCAAAGTTACAAATGCTGTTTTTCTTTCAGTTATATTCTAAAGGCCCCTTATTCACAAACCATGAATAACTTTGCCACAATTAACACTCTCAGGGTCTTTCTATGTCCTCTTATTCAACTTTTCTACCTTTCTCTTATTTCAGGTTTCTGAAATATCATCCAGATCTCACCAGACTACAAAAATCACATTGTAAGTGTTAACAGGTCACGTACCTCATCATGGTCAATATCTGCATCTCCAGTAATGACAATGCGCTTCTCAATTCTTGTTTCTGATACCCCACCTTTTACCATCTACAGATAGCAAAAAAAAAAGAAGAAAATTATTCCATATTGCCACAAAGCAATCCTTCCTGCTGCACCAAAGCAAATACATTTCTGTGACTGAGTTGCAATCTGTAGCAAATATTCTCAGTGGTAAACCACCCTTTCCTTTCCCAGTTATGCAGTTAGTGACATTCTAGCAATTGCTTAACTTGGTAAAAACCAAGCAACAGAGAATTCCTTTTGTTACTGGAGTCCAAGTTTGAACAGATCTAGATATGCAGACAAACTGGAATTCCAGCTTCTTCCACCACATAAATCTGGCAACAATGAAACTCCAGGAGTCTTTTCTTTGATTTCAACCCATCTATCATGGGCTTTTTCTCAGTCTCTGAAGAATCCTATGTCATTAAATACAAAGATGATCTGCTTTTCAGTTCTGCCATTCATGGACCTTAGTGAGACATTTCACATTGCTGGTGGAAATAATTACGTGCTTTACTTCTTCATTTCTTACTCTAGTGATTAAAACATTGTAGCTTATAGAAAATTTCTCACAGAAATAACATTATATGCTTTTTTCTTTTTTAATCAGCCTGTATAAGAGAAAAGAATAAACTACTACTTAAGATACACTGACCATATTAGAAAAGGTCCAAGATGACTCTGTTAAGAACACCATTAGAATATTAAAAGTCTTTTCGCAGGTCACTTTATCAATAATGAACAGTTTGGGATGTAAAATAGAAAGTTAGTTTAGAAAATTCAAAGTCTTTTGAATTGATGACAAGCAGTCGGTAAGAAAAGATAAGGGTCTGCTGCATTTCGGTAATCCCAGTAATTTTTTAGTAGGAGACAAGACTGAAACCATTTTCCTCAATGGTTCCCTCCAAAAAGCAGCATTATTTGACATCTGAACTTGACAAGTAAATGTATCCTTTTTTCCCCCTCTCTTTAGCTGTGGTAGTTATTGAATAAAGAGTTTTTTCTAAAATGGTGGTGGCTTAATGATTCCAAAAGGGAACAGGAGACTGAAAAGGACCTGTTGACTAGCCTGTGTAACAACACATACACATTTTAAATTCTGAGCTTACTTTATTTCATGTGACTGTTATCTGATAACTTTCCAACATCATCTTTCCACTGTTATTCTGTGAATACAACTTTCAACCTTAAGAATATTCCAAACTTTAGAATATATGTATTGAATATATATCCAGTAAGCAGTGAATTATTGTTCCATTCTGCGGTGATGTGAAACTTCTTTTCTTGGGGGGCAAAAAACCGCAAACTCACACCTTACGTTTCCCTCTTCCCTTTTGCTTTACCCTAAAAAATGCCTTCTGTAATTTTCTTCGAAAACCATGTGAAGAGCTCAAAGACAAGAGTTCAAAACTGTGTTGTTGGGGCACACCTAAAATTTGATAAATATTTACATAAATTAAGAATAACAATAATCATCATAATCATCACACTTTGGTAGTTCTAAGAGACTCTGGCATGAAATATTACATGAGACTGAAACAGATGTGATGTCCTGTTAACACCGAGTTTTCCTTTCCTTTTCAAGCATGGAATGCAGAGCACATAATTCAGCACCAAAATATGCTTGCAAAGCAATCTAGTGGTATGATCTGTTTTTAAATATGCTTTAAACCTAGCAGCACAAGGATCATCAACAGAAATGCTGAGAAAACATTGTTTCAGTTCATCCTTATAACTGATGCCATTAGCAGGGCTCCTGTGGACCTCAAACAAATCAGTTACGTTAACAAAGACTCTGTAAGATATCAGTGAGTGATGACAGAACTGAAATTGTAAAAATTTAGGTATGCTCATTTGTCAAACACAGAAATAAGACCTATACGAAGTACTAAAAAAACCTAATCCTACTTTCCTCCCTTTCCCTGTCCTGTTCCCAGGTATTCCCGCTTATTCATTAGGGCTTCTCTGTTCAAATTCTGCGTACAGAAAGATTAACTCACACACATGCTTGGAATGAGTCCAATCCATTTCAATTCACTTTTCTTCAATAAATTAGCAGATATATGAGCAACTTCATGTAAGACTTTCTTTTGAGGGTTTGAGGTGGTGGGTTTTTTTAGTTCAGAGAGACGTTATTATATTTTACCTTCGTGATGTGTGTAGTTGTGGTAGTAGAAATTGACTCTGATGTAATTGTCTGCGCACTCAGCAGCACACCAGCATTCCCACCAGCACTGCCATCAAACTGTAAGGAAAAAAAAAAAGTATTTTTGTATTTTAGCATTTAAAAGCTTTGTTTTCACAGGAGAAAAGGCTGGTTTTCTTACTAAACACATTCTTTAGTTCAGTTAGAAGTGAAATCTAAGTAGAAGCCATCCTAGTTTACCAAGTCATGTAAGACTGTTGTTATGGTTTGTTCTTGCGGAAAATTCATGGTCGAAGCTACATGTTACTTTCAGGAGCCATGAAATATTGTAATCAAGTTTCCAAAATTAAAAATGAGTTATAGATTTGCAGATAGCAACTAAGTCCTTATATATATAAAAAACCCAAACATTTAGAACTTCAGAAGTAACACTGCTTTGTCTACAAACATTTCACTTACCAAATTCATAGACAAAGTATAATCTTAGCTGCTAGAAAAAGTAATAGGTTTTCAAAAAGCATTTTTTTGGACATTATCTATTTTGACCTACAAGTAAATGGAATAAAAACTAGCTTGCAAACAGTATAACAAGCCAGTCACCATACCTGTGGAGATTCATATGTGATAGTTTTAGTTTCTGTTTGAACAATTGGAACTTCTTTAGTGGAGATTTCAGTTCTCTGTGTGGCATCTGAAATGGTTACCATCTCTGTTTTCACTACTGGAGGCTGTGGTGCAAGAAATAACCAATCAATTAAAAAAGACAGAAGAAGGTTTGTAAAGTGGACCAAGAAAATACAACAAAAAACTTGAGAAAATCATAATAGTAAGATAAGTATTTGACTGTCTTCCCAATCAAAAAGCATGCAATAAAGTGAAATGAAGACTGATACACCAGCCCTCTAGTATCTGCATAACATGGTAGGAAAATTTAATCTCCTAATAACTTTGTCAAAGTTCTGTATTTCAGCTAACAGTACCTATCACAGAAGGTAACTGCTAAAACCAAGCTGCAACACAGGTACTGAAAACGTGTAAAAGGGCATCATTGGGGGGGAAAAAAAATAATCTTAGTTTGCATAAAGAAGCTGACAGCTAGCTCAGATGGATAAGCTTCATATTAGAATTAATCTGGGAAAATACCTACCATTGCTCAAACTGCAAATAAGAACTAGAAATTCCAAGGAAATTACATAAAAGTTTAACTTTTTAATATGTACTACTTCTGGAACAGAAAAAGAATTCTGACAACTAGATTTTAAGCAGTCTACATTCAGTGTAATAATTCTGGAAATCAATGGCTTCTTTTGACAATTCTAACCATTTTAACCATTTAGTTAGCTAGTGGTGTTCTTGGCAATATCACAAAGCAAGCAACTACCCAGGGGTCTGTAGAGTCAGTGAACTTGTGATTTATCTTATTGGAGTAATTTTCAATCTGTTTAAAAACTTTTAAAAAAATCTAGTAAAGCCTTTTGATATTTTTCTAGATGTATCAGTTGCTATATCCCATTGATTCTGAATGCACATGGGGGGAAATTCCAGTGGAAAAAAAAAATTAAAAAATCCTTTCTTTCCCTCACACACACTTGCACACACAGCAGCCCTTCTCCCCTTCCTCCAAACTAGCTATGTTTTTAGGAAGTGTGGGTGGCTGCAACTTCTTAAGGTCTTATAAACTAATTCTTTCACATCATTAATCAGAACACCTGTGTATGCAAAAGACAACAAAAGGAAGAAGGTAAGTAGTTTGGATTTCAGTGCAAAAAAAAAAAAAATTGCCACCATTACAAGGCCAAGCAGGTAGATAAATAGGAAAAAAACCACCCAACTGTTGAAAAGCTCAGCAGAAGATCATGCCAACTTTACAAAGAGATGCATCCCTGCACTTCATTTTTTCCCTTTCTGCTTCTTTATGAAGTTTGCCCAGTAATGTACCCTTCAACCTTGTTTGGCTTAGAACAACTGATTGTGACTGGAAACCAGCATGCTTCCCTAAATATCTACTGCACTAGAAGACTTCATAATAAGATTGTCATGTATGCCTCATCCCTTTACAATGCACTGCTCTCACCTATGCAATTTCTAGCTGTACTTACTCTAGTCTATAAATCTGTAATGTATTTTAAAAGGAAAAAAAAAAGGGCAAGAAAAGCAGTGAATAATAAGGGCGGAAAAAAAGGGACAAAAATTTGTGACAGGCGGGTGTTTTCTAATTTCAATTGCCAATAGCTTTCCAATCACAATTACATGTCATGGACGTGTCAAAAACAATTGACAAATAGACAAGACAAGACTTAAAACATTGGAAACATGTAAATAATAAATATACATTATGTATGTGCATATAATATATGGGGGAGATAAAAAGGAGATGCCAGTCTTCGGAAGGTTTGCCTTACTGGTGATTCTCACTCAGTTCTAGCAAAAAGTCAGAAACCATAACTGAAGGAGACAGAATTTCACTGCTCATCAATGGTTTCCCCTTCCAAACGATCTGAATCTTGTTGGATGCCTGAAGAGCTGGAGGAATAGGAGAAGAAGAAAGGCAGGTATATTCTCACCCCAAGAGATATCTCTGCTTAATCTAGTTGTCAAACTGTTCTACCATTTACCTCAGAACAACAAATTATTTGTGGTGCAACATCAATGTCAACATGAGACAGATCTCCATTGAGTTTGAGCTGTTCTTCCTCTTTTTCTTCACCTAAATCTTGCTTAATTTCCTCTGACAAATTCTTTTCTTCTGTAGCTATGGTAACTGCATTTTCACGGACCAAATCTTCAGCTGTAACTTGTGTGTGCTCAGCTGGTACATTTAGTGTACTGCCTTCTGGTGTGGCTTCCACAAGCTGTATTTTTTCTTCATGATCTTTCCTTTTAATGTCTTCCTCTTCTTCCTGTTCTTCCCTGATGACTTCCTCAATCGCCCTATGATGTGGCTGGTACTCTCCCACCTCTTCATCCTCACTCTCACTACTACTGCTGCTGCTGCTACTATCTGATGGCAATGATGAAGAGTCCTTTTTTGACAGATGCTCCACCTTACATGTTTCCCCAGCATCAGTGGCAACTTGCATTTTCCCTTTGTTGGTTTCGTCTATGACTACTGTTTCTTCTATCCCAACCTCTGCCTGCTTCTTCTCCTCCACTATGTCCAGAGTCTCATGTGAACTCTGCACAAAAAACATGGATGAGGAAAAACAAAAGTAGAGTACATGAATAAATTAAAATGATGGAAACAAAATTAGCAGATGGCTGGTTCGTGTCATGTAGAAGACAAAAGATGGTTGTGACGGTTAACTGAAAAAGGAAGGAAAGAAAGAATGAAGATGGATTGGAAGAGTTAGAGCCAAATTTAACCATGGAAAAAATCAGTAGAACCTTATCAGCATCGCTGACTCCAGTACAAGGCCCTTCTGCTCTGGAAGCATGTCTCTGTGAAACAAAAAGCAATCAGAGGACAAAAATCAATGCATAACCCTTTTCAACAGTGCAGCATCCTCCAAGCAAGCTTTTAAGAATGTATACACGTGATACTAGACAGATACTGTGTATTCACTGCAAGATTCACATAGATCTATGCTCATTTCCTTTCACTTAATTGAAATATTCCATTCAAAAGCAGGTAAGAATTATGGACATTATTATTTAGGATAAGAATTTAATTATGAAAGGCTGAAAATAAAAGCATGAACACACTGGCCAGTGATGCTATTGAAGCAGTTATTTCTCCCAGTTAAATCAGGAATGAAAAATAAATAATATTAAGTAAAAAAAAAAAAAAAACAACCAAACAACCCACAACCCTACTTAGCATTCTACTGTCAGTTTATCATCATCCAGCATAAAAAAAGGCTTTATTGTAAGATTTTATTAGCTGTTCATCCCTGGTCTGTTACTTTATGAAACTTAATAGATAACGAGAGGGAGACTGTTCAGAGCGGCATGTTGTCAGAATGGCAATGCATGATTACCAAGATGATCCCATTAGGATTCAGTTTGGAGCCAAAATGATGAGATTAAAGCAGTTATATTAGTATTTGTTTTGTAACAAAATGACCTGTGATGGATATCCCAGAAAGCCCACAGTAAATTATGTATAGGGTAGGGGGTTTTTGATCTAACGTGTTTTTAGTGAATAGTTTGCAGCAAAATTTGAGTTCAAATGGTAAGAATCCAAAAGTTAACACATCATCTGTGACTTAATCCTACCTTTTATTGCTGTTTACCAAGCAAAGCACCTACGGAGGGCAAGCCAGCATTCCCGGTGAAGCTGAAGCGAGCACCCGTTAACCTCTCTGGAGCGTTGCACAGAGAGAACGAAGCTCTCTACCGGGATCGAGGGAGACCCAGCTAATACAAGCAACCAGCTTACCGGCTCGGACGCCGGGGAATTAAGCCGCGGGCCACCTTCGCGGCCCGGTGACGGCTCCGGGGGCCGCTGACTGACCGCT